GGCCATGTAAGAAACATAATTTTGAAATGTTTTTAACCTTAGAGTAAATGGACCATCTGTATTTGCATAACTGAGTAAAAAAAATCCCTGCTGTTTCTGGCATCAAAAGCTGTTAAAAACCTTGATGTTCCAACACACACTGCAGGGTATTCATTCTCCTCTGCAGGATCTCTGTTTGCTGTGGGACTAAATCCACCTGAGCTAGTCAACCATCATATCTAACAGCTAAAAATTAGTGTCAGCAAGAAAACTTTATTTAAGATGGCAAGGTCAGAGCAGAACAAAGACTTCACAATGCTGCAAGTGTCTCCCACATGCATTAAAAATGCCTCATCATGCTGTCGAAGCAGGTGAAGTTTGGGGTTCTTTTGTGTCCGATGGTGACCTCTGTAGTGCGGGTGTTTGGCTCTGCAAGAAACAAATATAACTAAAAATGTGTGTTTACTGTGTGTGGGAGAGAGAGACGATGTTGACAAGATGTATATCCTGAATGTTTCTTTGCTTTGCCAACAAACTCTCACAGGTGCTCCTTCAACCTCTATACGAGTAATGACTTCTCCACCTAAGGACTCAGTAACTAATTCATGGCTTGTCCGTTGATGGAGGGTGTAGAAAGAGACTGCCTCACATTGAAATTACACATCTAAAGCTAATGAAGTCGTTCACAGCGAGAAGACAGGCCTGCTTCTGGTGCAGGTAGTGTTTAAAAATAAAGCACATGCTCTGTAAAATGTGCAAGGTTTCATTCAGCTCCTCTTTCTTCCTGGTTTTCACTTTGCAGAGGCTCCTGCAGGCAAAGACAAAACAGAAGATATATGGATAGCGACACCTAAATAGGACACAGATCTAATGTGTCAGTGGTGTGAAGCTAAAGCTTTAAAAGTAATCTAAGGTGATTTTAAAGTGTCACTGTGGGCATGTTTCTACTACAGAACTATTTTTCCATGAATCAGGATGTTTCTGTGAGTGCCTAAGGTTGGCTGAGAATCTTTGTTTAACTTGGGATGCATGTTTCTTTAGAAAACCAGAGTTCTTGGAAAAATGCCACCCATGCTTGTAAAAAACAGACAAACGCCTCAGAGAAAGTCCTTTTTGTTGTGATGCAACTTTGCAAACCAATTCCCCGTACTGCTGGTGGTGCTTATATGAACATATATACAATCACTGCAAGCTTAGTGGAAGTCTTCATCTGCAAAAAAAAACTGCAATAAGTCTCTAAGTGCAGCATGCAGATATCGTGAGGGTTCTCACTGCACCACATTTTGAAATGTAATTCTTTGAATGCCTTCTGCACACATTTAAAAATAAGGTGGTTGCATATTTGAAAACTAACATTTAGCTGATATTGTAGGATTTAGTTGATAAAAATATGGGTAACACTTTATTTGAAGGGGGTTGAATAAGACTGACATGACACTGTCATAAACATGACATAACACCTGTCATGAACATGAATAAGCCTTCATGAATATATATGACTGTTGTCATAAAGAGTCATTCAGTAAATTATGACACTTTTAATACAAAGTTGACATTATTCAAATTGTCTTTGTTATGACAACTTGACATTAACCAAGAAATTATTACTGATATAAATTTGTTATAAAAGTATTACTGATTGCACTTTAAAAATTAGGTAACTTTATGTTATTAAAGGTAAAGTTTAAACAGTAATGATTTCCTGGTTAATGTCAAGTTGTCTTAAAGACATTTTGAATAATGTCAACTTTGTATTAAAAGTGTCGTAATTTGCCGAATGACACTTTATGACAACAGTCATAAATATTCATGAAGGCTTATTCATGTTTATGAAAGTGTCATGACAGTCTTATTCACCCCCCTTCAAATAAAGTGTTACCAAAATATGTTTTACATGTTTGTGTTATGGTCTCCTATCCATCTTTGTTACCATAAAAATGGTCTTAAAGCTGTTTTTTGATTGGTTACATTTACTTTTTTGTGGCTGGATGTTCCTTTTCAAACCTCCATGGTCCTCCATATCTATTTTTACTCAACATACATGGACACTGATGGTGAGCTGATGATGCTTGATTTCTATATCAAGATAGCTTTATTTAAAGCCTTCCTAGTTTACTCAAAACCTTATTTCTAAAATAGGTAATGCACTCACCCTCTGCAGAATGTTGCTCAAGACTCTCACCGTCCGTCACTTTGAGGTTTGAGTCAGAAATTCTCCTTAAATACAAAACCACGAGTCACATGGCAGCAGTTTAGCAGGTGGAGCTAGGAATCCTGACCCAAGAGTTCAACTTGTTAGGCTGAGTGCCTTTTTTGTTCCTCTATAGAAAAATTGTCTCCCGGTTACAGAGAGTTTGCAACAGAATAGGAAACAGCATTGTTCAGCTTCTGCTGCGGGGTGCAGACACAACAGACCGTTTAAAGTTTGTTGAAAAAGCTTTCTAAAGCACCATCTTGTCTTTCTTTGATCTGTTTATCATTTTTGCTTTGATGCATTATTGCCTTTAAAAAGCAACTTTTAATATTGCCTTTAAATGTTGCTATTTTTCCTGAGCTGTCAAGGTCTTTGGCTTTGGCTTTGTTTTGATATTTTATATATTCTGCTCCCTGCCGGCCATTTCTCCCATGTTCCCAGTCCAAATTCAGTTTCTTGCTTTTCCTCACAGCTGCACCTAGTTTTTAATCAACCACCTGCTCCTGGTTTTGAAATCAATTCTCCAGCTTAAATTCAGTTAAATCAAAGCAAATACTTCCACTCAGTCAGCTCTTGGTCAAAATAGAAATACATTCACTTCAGGGATTAATCAATTTCGTGTTGATCTATCACAAAAATCCAAATGAAATACTCTCGGGTTTTTGTTAGTGATGTGGCTAAATATTAAAAAACTTAGGAGGTGTGAAAACCCCATAAGCTTTTTTTTTTTTTTTTTTTTTTTTTT